TCCCCAACAACATGGAGAGATACATCTCCTTCTCCCTGAACGGCCTGAGGTTCATCGACTCGGTTCAGTTCCTCATGTCGTCACTCGACAGTCTGGTCAAGGCCAACGATACCTTCCCCATCACCGATCGATACACCAACGCCGAGACTCGACCCCTGCTGATGAGGAAGGGTGTGTACCCCTACGAGTACATGGGTGGCTGGGCCAAGTTCACTGCGACCCGACTGCCTCCCATCATCCGATTTTACAGCAACCTGACCGACTCGACAATCACCCAAGACGATTACTCGCACGCGATTAACGTATGGAATAAACTGGGCTGTAAGAATCTGGGTGACTACCACGACCTGTACTTGAGAACAGACGTACTCCTGCTAGCCTACATGTTCGAGACGTTTAGGAGGACGTGTTTTAAACAGTATCAACTCGACCCCGCATGGTACTACACCAGCCCAGGTCTATCTTGGGATGCCTTGCTGAAGAAAACCGGCGTTAAGTTGGAATTGCTCACCGATTACGACATGCACTTGTTCATTGAGAAAGGCTTGCGAGGTGGGATCTCCATGGCTGCCAACGCTACGCAAAAGCCAACAATCAGTACGTGAAGGGCTACGACTCGAGCAAGCCAACCACTCACATCCTCTACCTCGATGCCAACAACCTGTACGGCTGGGCCATGAGCCAGTATCTACCCACAGGGGGATTCGAATGGGTATCACCTGAGATCGATGTTATGAGCATCGCGCCGGATTCGAACAAAGGCTATATCCTCGAAGTGGACTTGGAATACCCCAAGGGATTGCACACATCACACAACAGCTACCCCCTGGCCCCCGAACGTTTGAGGGTTAACCCGGACTGGATGTCCGAGTACCAACATAACTTGCTGGGTAGGCGGGTGGCAGACGTTGAAAAACTCGTCCCCAACTTAATGAATAAGACCAAGTACATCGTTCACTTTCACAACCTACAGCTGTACCTGTCGTTGGGTATGAGGCTGGCCAAAATACACAGGGTGCTCGTGTTCGACCAGAGCCCCTGGATGGAGCCCTACATCAGAATGAACACGGACCTGTGAAAGCTGGCCACCAGTGACTTTGAGAAAAACCTCTACAAGCTCATGAACAACTCGGTGTTCGGTAAGACGATGGAGAACCTGAGGAAACGCGTGACCGTGAAGCTAGTCCGGTCAAAAGAGGAAGATAAGCTCAGGAAACTGATAGCCAGCCCGGCATTCAACCGGAGCAAGATATTCACCGACGACCTGGTGGCCCTACACATGAAGAAAAGCCACATCAAATTCAACCGGCCCGTCTACGTGGGGATGAGCATCCTCGATTTATCCAAACACCTGATGTACGACTTTTACTACAACGAACTGAAGAAACAGTACGGCGACAGGTGCGAAGTGCTGTACACGGACACGGACTCCCTGCTGATGGAGATTCGAACCGAGGATGTGTACGAGGACATGGTAAAACACATCCATTTATACGACACCAGTGACTACCCCATGCCATGCACAGCACGGTTAACAAAAAGGTCCTCGGTAAGATGAAGGACGAGTGTGTTGGCACGCCCATAGCCGAGTACATAGGCTTGAGGCCCAAGATGTACTCTATCATGAAGGCCGACAATAGCGAGATCCGGAAGGCAAAGGGTGTCAAGAAGTACGTGGTGAAACAACACATCAAACACGCCAGATTCAAGGAAGCCCTGTTCAAGACCCGCACCTTCAGACATCAAATGAACATGCTTTGAAGCGATGGGCACAGGATATACGGACTGACTATAAACAAGACGTCCCTATCACCGATGGACACGAAGCGTTGGATAGCCATCGACGGGATCAACACGTACGTGTACGGGCATGAGAAAATGGAACCAAGAACATAGGTGTATATATACAATGTCACGGAACCAAAGAAAGTTTGAGGCTATTTACTACAGCCCGCGTGGGTACTGGAAAGGAGCTAGCGCCGTACATAAGCTGGCCAAAATGGCGCGAGTACCCCCAAATGAGGCCAAAGCGTGACTTGAAAAACAAGCCCTGTGGCAGATCTATTTACCGGCACCACGCTACGTGCCCTGAAGAAAGTTCAGCATTACCCTACCTTATAGCGTCCACCAGTCCTACCCCCTGTTCCTACCCCACAACAAGAGGCACAAGTATGCCCTAACCGTCGTTGACGTTGCCAGCCACTACAAGGAAGCCGAACCCTTGACCGCGAAGGATGCGGCCCAAGTAGCCCGCGGATTCGAACGCATATACAAACGCAGTCCGCTGACATGGCCCACAGAGCTGCAAGTCGACCCCGGGCGGTAGTTCATGGGTGCCGCATCACAACTGCTAGCCAAACACGATACCAAGGTCAGGCGATGCGCGGCTGGGGCTCATCGCAGCCAAGCCATAGTCGAGAGATTCAATCGGACTTTGGCCCCGGGGGAACACGAAGGGGACACTCGGAAACGAGCCACCGATCCGATATGGTCAGTCAAAACTTACAACATAGATAAAGTAGACATCAAAGCCGACGAGCCGAACTTGTACTACTTGAGAGATGGGCCAGGGAGAGGTTTCGTTAGAGAGGAATTATTAGTCATACCGTACGGCACAATGTTGCCACTCAAGCAAAATATTTAACACTTGCCTTGTCGGGTAATCTTAATGGTATCCTGTCAACACGACATAGAGCTATCACATGATCAGGAAGTGCTAGTTCGCGGTCATAGTGACCGGGAAGTTAACTGGGGATTCAAAAGTAGTATATACAATGGTGGCAAGATCTAAGGGCCTGATAAAAAGCTTTATTTATGAAATAAAGCTTTACAGAGGCTTTTGTTGGACTTGGTCTCGGACAATCATTGTATATACTACTCGCAGTGAAGCATGAATACCCCACTCAGACAAATTATACTGACTCCGAGCCGACCAGTCCTTGTTGTACCCATTAATGCCGAGCGCCAGGCAGGGACCAACAAGTACCATATTTTAACGTCTTTTGGTATGACGCGGTCGGGGATCGAACCCGCGACCTTCCTCTCTCCGGGCGGACGCTCTAGCCACTACACCACGGAGGCGGTCTACTGATTTGGTGGGGCGGTGTGGGTAGCCTAGTAGTTAAAGCGTTGGCTCGCCACGCCTAAGACCCGGGTTTGATTCCCTACATGAGTACAATGTGTGAAGCCCATTTCTGGTGTCCCCCCTCCTTGATATTGCCGGAATACTGCTAAAAGCGGCGTAAAACTAAACTCACTCAATCAATCAATCACTCACTCCTGATTTGGAAACATTCTGTTCAGGCGGCCGCGTAAACTGGAACAGCACAGGATATTGAAATTATATATTTATACAATTAGTATTTTTAAAAAGCCACACTAACAATATTCAAGGACAATGACTGGAACCCATAGGCAGTCAAATATGGACCAGACAATCTAATGATTCATATCATGAGCATTGATCTACGCCTTTGGGGTATGATGACAAGCAGTAATCGACACCAAACCTGACCATACGATACCATTTGATATTGAAGCATATGTGATATTGAAGAATGAATGACTGTTGTAATAATGGCGGCTAGTGAAGCTACTATACCAATGCATAAAGCGGGGACGTTGGGGTAGCCTAGTGGTTAATGCATTCGCTTTTTACTCCGAAGACCCGGGTTCGATTCTACACATGGGTACAATGTGTGAAGCCTATTTATGGTGGCCCCCGCCGTAATTTTGCGACGTAAAACTAAACTCACTCATTCACTGCTATATACCGGTTGGTATTAAAACAGTGATGGTTAATGCATCTTTAATGACTCAGTGATCGTTAAGATTTGTGAGTCACTGGTTGAAAAGATTCAGAAATATTTGCTCTTCATGCAGTAATACTTTAAGAAGATGGTACAGCTCTTGAAATAATGTCGTTATTGAAGCAATGAGAGCTATCTGAGCAATTAGGGTTATTGACGATATGAACCTGTAAAATTAATAATGGATAATAAAGCAAACATGGTTTTTAAACCAACGGTATCTGTTGAATGAGTGAGTTAATACTGCCCAATGCTGTGTCAGAAAGCACCCATCCACATCTCTTGAAGATAGTTACCCGTGAAGATATGGGTTAGAATTGATCTTCAGTCACCAATGCTTGTCGCAAGAGGCCACTAACGGGATCGGATGGTCAGGCTCGCTGACTTGGTTGACACGTCATCGTATCCCAATTGTGTAGATCGATGCTCGTGCTGTCGATCACTGGATTGTCTGGTCCAGACTCGATTATTTACAGACCGCCGCCAATATAGCTGGAATATTGCTGAGTGCGGCGTAAAACTAAACTCACTCACTCATCAGATATATATCTAATTCATTCTTTAGAAGTATAATGCAATTAACAAAAGTAGGGGATATTCCTTTTTTGTGATATCACTTGGGAACCAAGTTTGATGGTTGTACATTACTGAGTGCGGCGTAAAAACTAAACTCACTCACTCACTCTTGAAGGAAGGGTAACTATTGAACCAATGATGAAGTGGCACCGGTAATGAAGCACATTGAAACTATCAATGATAGCAATCTATATAACATAAAGCTATGCTAATTCAAAGCAAGTATAAATGCTTTGCAAACCACACTAGAGGGACACAAAACTCCCTAACATAATTAATATCCTTTGTTCAAAATACCCTCGGCAAGATTAATAACAATTTCCGGGTAACACGTTTGATGTTCATCTCTTTCTAGTGGCATTGGGCGGACAGCGTGAGACAGGATCCATTCCCTTGATGGAGAATGGCGTAAAAAGTTCAATGTGCATGCATGTACTGTTGACATATGCTCATTAATGATTAGTGCATATCTTTCCAATCATTGCCAAATGTCACCATTACGTTATACAAACATGAATCATCATCACTGATCCCGCGGCAATAGAGTCTGAACAATGGACCGGATATTACTCAGTAACGAGACTACAAGAACGAGGCAACATTGCTCTGCGAGTATCGAGGGGTGAAGTTTCCTTCGTTCAGACTATGCTAGCTACTTCAGCCTACATCTATCATCGTATTGCTAAGCAACAATGGAATGTCTTGGAGCTGGCAACGTCAGCATCAGCGTAATGTTAACTACGAATTCTTCAGTAAATAAAACCGCCTGTTACAGCGAGACCTTTGGGATTGATATCAACGTAGCCAGTAGCCAACACAAGGTTAGTACGTACAATATTTATGATAATATAACGATATTGCAAGCTGCATATCGGATTATAAGGTAGATCTGTTGTGTCCCACAGAAAGGTAATATCTTGGAAGAAGTGTCTCAGGTGTTAGGGACACAGGTAGACAAGTGGTACATTCTTGTAAGAAGTGTTACATGTGTCAGGGAAGCTGGTACCCAAGTGGTACATTGTTGTAAGAAATACCCTGGGTTTTAGGGACACAGGTAGACAAGTGGTACATTCTTGTAAGAAGTGTTACATGTGTCAGGGAAGCTAGTACCCAAGTGGAAAAATCTTGTAAGAAATACCCTGGGTGTTAGGGACAAAGATAGACAAGTGGTACATTCTTGTAAGAAATACCTTGGGCGTTAGGGACACAGATAGCCAAGTGGTACATTATTGTAAGAAGTGTTACATGTGTCAGGGAAGCTGGTACCCAAGTGGTACATTGTTGTAAGAAATAAATAACCCAAGTGGTACATTCTTGTAAGGTGTTACATGTGTCAGGTAGACAAGTGGTAAACATCTTGTAAGAAGTGTTACATGTGTCAGGGAAGCTGGTACCCAAGTGGTACATTCTTGTAAGAAATACCCTGGGCGTTAGGGACACAGGTAGACAAGTGGTACATTATTGTAAGAAGTGTTACATGTGTCAGGGAAGCTGGTACCCAAGTGGTACATTGTTGTAAGAAATAACCTGGGTGTTAGGGACACAGGTAGACAAGTGGTACATTCTTGGAAGAAGTGTTACATGTGTCAGGGAAGCTAGTAGCCATGTGGTACATTATTGTGAAAAAGTGTCGAAAGTGTTACGGGTACTAATAGCCAAGTGGTACATTATTGTAAGAAGTGTTTCAGGTGGCAGAACACAGGTAGCCAAATGGTGCATTTCTTGCAGAAAGTGTCTAAGGTGTTAGGCACACGGTTAGCCAAGTGGTACGTTCTTGTAAGAAATGTCTATAAAGTGCTAGGACACTAATATCCAAATTCTATATTTTTGGAAGATGTGTCTGAGGTGTTTGGGACACAGACAGCCAAGTGGTATATTTTTAGTAAGAAATGTCTAAACTGATAGAGACAATAATAGCCCAGTGGTATACTCTGGTAAAATATGTCTAATGTGTTAGGGACAGATCTAATCAAGTGGTGCATTCTTGTAGAATGTGGCAAATGTTAGGGAACAGGTAGCCAAGTTATACTTCTAAGATGAACTCTTATTTAACGGTGTGACTAATTTAAGTCACCAGGGTCTTGAATCCCAATCTCGTCCTGATTGTACGTCAGCCCCCGCCATATTCTGGCCAAACAGAAATACGGGTTAAGAGGCGACTGTCGGGATCGGGTGGTTAGGCTCGCTGACTTGGTTGACACATGTCATCGTATTCCAATTGCGGAGATCGATGCTCACTCACTCACGCACCTTTGACCAAAAGTGGTCCCGTCTTATTCTGAAATTATAAAGGAAGTATCTGATTTACTTCGTGATACATAAAATCACAATGTCATTTTGATTTCCTTGTATATGCACAGTGGCGATAAACCTCAAAATAGCCCAAAGTTTGTATTTGTATCCTGGAAAAAACGTTCCAATGGCATTCGGCGTTAACGTTTTTTCACGTGGAATGGGATTCAGCGAACAATAACAAGGATGCGATTTCTTGAAACAATCGTTGGAGTGAACCAAGAATATAATGACATCACAAAGGGGCTCATTAATGCAACGTTTGCAATCATCCTTACAGAGCCTACTCCGATTGACAAAATCAAATCAAGATATCAGGACTTTTAGACACAGGGAATGTTCTTTGGGTATCATTGTCAATGAAAATGACAAACGCGCAGGATCATTTACTACGACGCATGGATGCGCGTGACCATTTTATGTCTTTAAAACGGATTAAACAGTTGTTATCGTTTCAGCAGTCTGTACTCGTAATCTGGTCATGGAGATTGCATCGAGTTACAATGAATTACAAATGCAGACATCAATACGTTCATGATGTTGACGAGAATTGAAACTCCTCGTGTTTTACTTAAATGCGTCAAATCCCCAGTTTGATCGTGTCATGTGATGCAATGTATCGGGTGAGGGTAATGGTCCTTACATATTTCATCAGCAAATGTGTCCAGAGTTATGTGACAATGACGTCATACTGATATCATTCCGCCCGGATATTTACTTGTAAAACGATTTATGCTTTCATTATCTCATATTCCTTATATATTTTCAATAATAGCCAAGTCCTGTTTGTAAATGATGTCACTTCCTTTACCCCAAGTGGTCGTTTATGACATGTATGTGACCATTTTATCATTAATGGAATATGATCCCAGGCACCGAGTGATAGCATGCATAAAATGGATAGTTGTAGCTACCAAATTAATCAAACTGTTTATTTACGTGGGTGTGATCGGAAGCGTAAACAAACATATTTGGAAGATAGCCCAGATTCACATCCAAGTGTCGGTCATATTTTTCAAATTTTCCACAAAATCTGTTTTCCATAAATTTGCACATTTGACAGCTCCCGTTGCCTCATAGAGTCGAGTGAGGTGTGCGTCCAGTTGTGAGTATTTCTTGTGGGAGACATATGTTTTCAACGAAAAAAATCAAAACAAAAACATTGAACCCTTCTACCTCCATCTTCTCACTTTCGGGAAATATTCAGCGAGGCAGCCTCATCCTTGATCTGGTAGCATGATGCCCTACTTGCATCCGATATCTATATCAGTAAACAAAGCCCACATCAATGGCTGCTCGTGTTCCTGAAACGAGGGCGCCAAGTTCCACTTCTGACCTACTGAAGGTCCTATAGGATTGCAGAAGTAGAATCGTGCCCTCATTCCATCTCATGAGGTTCCAATTCTCCTGCACCCAGTCCTCTCCAAACAAATCCCAGTGACCTGAGATTGTGAAGATGTTGGTAAAGTAAACACTGATCCATATGATAATTCTGAATCGGATCTGAGGAACCGTTGTTACTCTTAGAAAGGGACCATCTCAAAAGTATAGCGATAGTTTTAGTACGATTGTATCACGTTTAGCTTTTGTTCATATGTTTGCTCTTTTGCAATTTTTCAAATCAAAATAAGTGTTCAGATGCAAGACGCAATATAATGAGGATGTACAGTCATCTTTATTTATTTATTTATTCATTCATTCATTCATTCATTCATTCATTCATTCATTCATTCATTCATTCATTTATATATTTATTTAAAATGTTATCGAATTCATTCATCCATTCATTCAAACTTTCATTCATTTATGAAATTGGAATTTTCTTGTGGACTCACTGGTGAAATATATGGCAATAAGATCATCTATTAGGATTTGTTTGGTATCGTTTTGACTGTTGGGAGTTACAGTTCTAGGTTACAAACGCCTGAAGTTAATGATTCAATAATTCGAAAACGCCATCCTGGCAATCCAAGGAATATATACAAGTCTGCAGAGCAAATAACCATTCAGAAGATCAATAAACGCGGAAACACAAAGCATCAGAACCATTAGTTGGAATTTGAACCCCGAACCAAGTTATCCTGACATGGTCCGTGTGCCATTGATAGTTCGCTATGTGTGAGTGAGTTTAGTTTTACGCTGTTTTTAGCAATATTCCAGCAATATCACGGCGGGGGACACCAGAAATGGGCTTCACACAATGTACGCATGTGGGGAATCGAACCCGGGTATTCGGCGTGACGAGCGAACGCTTTCACCACTTGGCTACCCTACCGCCCCTTTTCGCCATATGAAACTGCATCTGACCACGTGAAGAGATACAACAATGTTAAGGTGCTGCTTTTGTCGATCTTTGGTTTAGTTTGGGGCACAGGTGGATCAGTCGTCTACGGCCCTGCATTTCAAGGTGCAGGGTTGCGTCCCTTGATCACGTCAGGAGCTTATGAGCATGGGTTCGAATTCTGCATTCGCACTGAGTTGTTTCTTATTTTGTCAGCACAGACCCGCTCTCATGGGTTTTATATAAGTGGAAAACGTTTAACACCTACATGTCTTCTGGATTTCCTACAAGACCAAGCTGACACTTTGACGTTATGGAAATTTAATGCTCAAAATAGCTTCAATATAAAAAGTCGCTCTGTTTAATTTCTAATTACCTATTACCGGTGTGGTGAAAAAGCAATAACATATATTTGCTCGTAAGCTGGAAAAGGATTGAGGTAATTGATGGCATACATCACGATACAACTTTCACTGCGCATTCCAGGTGAACAGACTGAGGCTGTGATAACGAGCACCTGTCACTCGTCCATGTTAGGTACAGGCGCATCCTTCATGTCTATAGGTTAGTGCGTGTCTGAGTACTTCCTTAACTTAAACTCATCTAACACATTTTGTAAATATGTGTACGTGCTACATTTTGCAAAAAAACTAAAGTTTCGAAAAGTAATTCACTAGCATATCCGCCTAGAGCGAGTACTAACACAACCTGAAGGAAACGAGAAGGTAAGATCCGGTAACGGTTGCATTTACACATACTACAGGGAGAAGGTATTCGTTAGTCCGCCCTGATCGAGCATCCTCGCATGTAGGGATGCTGCGAAACTTGGCATCGTTCCAGGATATTCTGTAAGCACGGAACGTGTGTTCCTGTATCCATAGCACTGAAGAACATTGTCCAAAGACGCGACAGGTAAGGAGCTTTTGTCAAACAATATCTCAACAACTGACTTAAACCAAATTTAAACACTTTCATAGTCAACGAGTAAACATATGGTTGAGTGGGGAGCATATGTAAACAAACACCGTTGCTGACAGGCGGTTCGGTGTGGCTAATGCTTTAGGTATGTTGTTCTCGACAGAACAACGATATCCTTGTTTTATGAGCATGCGTCTATTTACAATATTGGTTTAGCTGTTGGTAACGTTCTGGAAACATCAACACTCATTGGAGAGATACGTCACTGTGTTTGTCTTATATAACATACCTGCTATGATCATGAGATATATTTAAGCGTGGCAGATATAA